AGGAGGGGGGGGGGGAGGCAGCAGGAGTCATTGCAGAGAAAAATCAAAATTCTCTTGGTTTGTAATGGTTGTGTAGTGTTCGCTTATTCGGTTTACAACGGTGAAACTCGCATCGTAACTATACATGAATTATTCAGGATTTATCGCTATTATTATTTATAAGCTTTGTAAATGTTAATGGCTGACGTAAGAAATACCTGCTAATGGGTGGCGTTGCTTAACCTATTTTTATGTAGATGCGTTGGTTGTATGGTCCAGACCCCTGGCGGTCATGTTATCAGCTTGTTCTGTTTCAATATTCTTTCTTCTGTTGTCATGATGATGCAATATCCATATTTAGATCTGGTTCGGTGTTTTAATTATGGGAGAACTTTTAATATCAACAGCACAATCCCCAACGAGTATACTATTTTCTTTTAACTTAAAAAAATTAAGCTAGCAATTTTCAAGGTACTGCGAAAGGTTATTATGAAGTAGATAATTGATGACATGACTTAATCTTTGACTTAATTCAGAATTGTTTTGATAAATCAGATATTTAAATGCACCTTGGAACAGGATAGAAATATCACATACATTGATCTAAATTTTAAGTCCATTTTAACAAAAAGTCAGTATTATAAACCTCTACCCGAATAAATAAATCAGTGAAGTCAACATATTACAGTGGAATAAATAGAATCCTCTAATTTCAAGCAATTTTAGTGATCCTCATGAAAACAGATTCCCGATGCAAAATCAAAACCAAGAACTGGAGATGGCGAAGAACCATGTCTCGCTGGGCAATCATTTCTGAAAAAAGACAATATTTTTGAAGCATCGATCATCTCGATTTGTAGCCTGATGATTCCCATTTGCCCCTTTCTCAATGTGTTACATATAGGCCTACAAACCTTCCCCTAAAAAGGAAACCGCAAAATATTGAAGAGATTTCACATTACGCTTAACGCTTAAAGTACTGTGACAGCCTATTTGCAAATGAACCGAATGTATATGTAATGGACATGCTCAAAAAATCGTATACAGGAGAATACAATTGTATATTCCGTTTCTTAAAGACTAGGATCGTATAAAAGCGTTTATGATGAAATCCTGATTTTAAAAAGCTTATTATATTATCTTTTAAAATTAAAATGTTTCTTATAATTATTTTGTCACTACTGCTACTGCCATCCACATCGGCATTCATATGCATCTTCATAAAATTTGTCACAGGCAATGCTACTAGGCCACGTGGCCATGAACGATGTGTCACGTCACATGCAATAAATGGAAATGTGGGAGGCTACATCAATAAGTGGGAACTACACCACACAATGGTAAAGTTACACATACACATACAGAAATACAGGATAAACATAATACAGCAGATTATATGGTAAAGGTTATGGACACGAGTCCTCACATATTTACACCCTGATCTGAGAACGATTTGGCACCGACATCAACCACTTCATAATACATCTAATACTCTTTGATCTGTCTTGTCAGTGAAAGCTTTATCAGAATCACCCGTATATTATTCGCGGATTTTAATTTGCAGCGAAATGCGCAGTTCGTCAACAAAGACTCGAAAAGTGCGCGCCTACCTTGTACAGCTTGAATTCCTTCCGGAGGCTCTCGGAGGCACTTCTGAGCGCCAGGAACACCATGGCGATTATACCGATCACGCAGATATATATATATATGCCTTCCATTTCGCACGACAGATGGTTGCGAGTTCGGTCCTTCAGAAATCCTTCCTTCTGAAAGTTAATTTGTAGATAATGAAGTGAAAATCCATGGCGAATTTTGGAAGATGGCCATGAAAGGGAAAAAAATTGTTATGAATATATATTTGTTTCTCTGTATCTGCGAACGTTTGAAGACAAAACAAATGATCAGTGCCTATTATGTGCGAATATGCATTTTTCAGACGAAATCGAATTAATCCTTCGAATTCTCACACTGCATCTGAATTTGTGTGTGTGTGTGTGTGTGTGTGTGTGTGTGTGTGTGTGTGTGTGTGTGTGTGTGTGTGTGGTGTGTGTGTGTGTGTGTGTGTGTGTGTGTGTGTGTGTGTGTGTGTGTGTGTGTGTATGTGTGTGTGTGTGTGTGTATGTGTGTGTGTGTGTGTGTGTGGTGTGTGTGTGTGTGTGTGTGTGTGTGTGTGTGTGTGTGTGTGTGTGTGTGTGTGTGTGTGTGTTGTGTGTGGTGTGTGTGTGTGTGTGTGTGTGTGTGTGTGTGTGTGTGTGTGTGTGTGTGTGTGTGTGTGTGTGTGTGTGTGTGATGTGTGTGTGTGTGTGTGTGTGTGAAAAAAACCATTCATCCCACTGAAATGTATGTGACGTGAAGTAGATTGAATATATTCAGAAAGACATGAAATAAAGCTAGTTCAGAACTGACCTGCGAAGGGAAAGCGAGCAGAGTCAATCGCAGTCGGAGTCTGTCTCGGCTTTCGGATGGACTCTGATTCGGCGTCGTTTCAGTCCGCGAGAGAAAGTAGTTCCTCTGGTAATTT